GTCTCGCTCCCCTCCATCTCCCCTCCCCGGCCCGGTCCCCACCCATGCGTCCCCTCCATCCCTCCCCAGCCCCGTCCCCACCCAATGCGCCTCCCGTCTCGCCCCCCTCCATCTTCCCCATGCGCCTCCCGTCTCGCTCCCCTCCCTTCCTTCCCCTCCCTCTTCCCTTCCCAACCCCGTCCACCTCCACATCCATCTTCCGTCCCCGAGAACGCACGCTTTGTCTCGCTCTTCCGCGGCACTAGCGACTAAACGAGAACCCAAGCATCGGAGATGCTTTTGGGAAAAACTAAAAACGAGTTCTCAGGCTGAGGGACTGAGGGACTGCTCAGTCTGAGGGACTGCTCCACCAGTCACAGTGAGTTCTTTTCAAGAGTTGAGCGAGCTTTGGCGAAATACAGCCGGAAGGTAGCACGGTCTTGCTTGGCGCTGTTCTGGGTTCTCTTTGGCCTTTGTGAGCGTACAGCATTGTTATGGCCAGGTTCTGGTGATTTGTTGAGATGTCCAATCAATTCTGATGAACAGTGGTGAATTATATTCACACGCTAGCGATTTCGCGTGCCATGGTGTTACGTAGCGACTTGTGGCTGTGCCACAGTCACCCTGAGCCACTAAAATTCTATCGCGGTGCTGGTTTTCAGTGTCGGCAAGGGATTATTGCAAGGCCAGATGATGACTAAGGCTGTTGCTGTTCCGCGCTTTGTCAAAGCAGGAGCCAGCTGGCTTGCTAGACCTCAAGGGAAATTAATATTAGCCGGGTAGGCTTGCCAATAGCAATTCATGCATTCCCTGCATAGTCCTTTAGCTCAAATTGCAAGACAATTGTCAATTCAGATTCAGAGGTTGTAGCTATCTTCAAGTACAAGGCTTAGTGTCAGAAGACTTCTGGCAAATCCTCGGGACTGTACAGTCTTTTCGCTTCAGAATGGTCCTTAGTGGGCACTTCTGTGTGCCTCGATGGGTTTGAGACGTTGACCCACATCTGCGCAGCTTTAAACATGAGTCGAGTCATTAAAACTTCAATTCTTCAGGTCGAACATGGACCACCTCTACAGGTTCCTGGCAGCTTGTACCATCTTGTACCTTAAAAAAGAAGACAAATGAAAACAGGAAGACCCCGTTTGACATGTTGGGTCGTCAGTTACAGTACAGTAATTGTGCCAAAGCCATCCAGTTGCTACCCGATGGCCTCCAACCCAAAAGCGAGAGAGGCAAACATTCAGAGACTCTAAACCCTACAAACAACTCAAAAACCCAGCGGAAGACCTGGCGGTAGAACTTCTGTAGGTTTCAGCCTGAGACCTGACTGTGTTTCGGTGGGTGGGCGGAAGAGGCATTGTGGGCTGGCTTGAGGGGAACGCGGGGTTCGGAAACTGGAAGAGTGAGTTAGGAGATTGAGGTTTGGAAGCTGGAGCCGTGGACGCAATAAGTCCCGTTTCATGGCAGCAATCCACATGAACCGCAAGGATTATCCCAGCCCGACACCCCCGACCCCAGCCCGCCAGACCTGTCTAATTTCATATAATATAATATAGTATAATTTCAGTTAATTTCATATACAGTAATTTCTATTTCTAACACAAAGTTGCTCAACTCCTCTTGTCCAACGCGTCGCTCAAAACTCCCTCTTGCCGTAGATCTGCACAGAATGGCGCTGGGTGCCTAACGGTCCCAAAGACTGTCAACCTATGGGCCGTAAGTTCGATCGGAAATCGGACACCACTTGATGTAGCTGTAGGAACATTTTGGATACAAAGACGGAACTTACTGGATCCTTTTGGTTTGCCGCCAAACAAATCTGTACTGTAGATCTGGTGTTGTCTTGAACTTCGAAGTCAATCTATGCAACTCGAGGTCGCAGAACATTTTGCAGCCAATGCTTCATCTTGATAGCGGCACTTGCTGGCCATTCCTCCAACCAGTCACTCAGTGATTGCATCATGTCAATGCACAGCTGGTTTTGCTGTCTCTACGCACTAAAGGGCCTGTATGCGGATAGATGTGCCGCGCAAGGCAGCAGACTGAGCCCAGCTATCTTGACAAGGTAGGCCTGGGTCGGTAGTCCTGACTTCCATTGACTATAGCAGCCTAGCAAACAAATATCTTCTGACCTCAAGCCAGCATAAATCTGCATGCCAAACTAAAGACTTGGTTGCGACCTACCAACATTTTGGTCAGTGCGTCACCAAAGATGCGCCTCTCTGAACAAGGACTCACCCGTACATGGGCAGAAAAAGGTTGGCCTGAATGCAGGAAGGTGAGAAGTTGAGGTTTGGGGAAAATTCTTTACAAGTGACAACAATGGTATGCAGGATTTGTGACTTGAGACACATCTCTGTGTATATACTCTGGTCACGGACTTCACGCCTGAAATTGTGAAATCGATTGTTCTTTGCCTCCTTCAGATTGCAGGGAATTTTTGTCAAACACATTCCCCATGTATGAATTGAGATGCCTGAGAGTTGCAGAAGCATGTTGCTCCTACCTCCTACTAGACAGATTTGTAGACCGAGGCGGATTCTTGATTAAAGGTTTGTCATACGACCACGCAGCCATTCTGACCTTCTCGACTGCGGGGGTCGACACCATTTGGGCGCTGGATATATTGTGCTCCACGTCACGATGTTCATACCTTGAGAAAAGTCTCATTTTGGTGAACCTGTGTCAAATCACCTCACCACTTCATCATTATCACCCCATCCTTGCATTCATCGGTTTCATACATCAAATTGCTTTTCGCATGTATGGACGATGGAAGAGGGATTGTGATCGGGTGGTATTGACGTTGGTTGGGACTGCTGCAAACAGTAGGTTCCTTCAAACACAAAAAGCACCGTTCATGCTGCTAGCTGGTACATCTAGTCTATTACCAATCTGCTAAAGGTAAAAGTACAGTCTTTGACGAGTTCAGCAACGAAGCAGTTCCTGCTGAATTCCACGCTGGGGTCGCACAAGGGCGCATAATTTAGCAACTCAAGTCTTGTTCGCTGGGTTGCACACCCCATCTCCAAAGGCACATCTTGCAGCGCTGTATGCACCGACACAGACAAGCCCTAGCCAGGGCAGTCAGGACGCAGAGCTCAGGAGTGAAGCATTGGACCATCGGGCTATTCCCACCACCACTGACGGTTCTTGATCACTGCGCATTCAAAGCACAACTGTTGAGGCTGACAATGGCTGGAGACGCTCTGCGCCCTTGAAAGTGCCTGATCAAATGGTTCCAATGAATAGAATGGGAGCTCCAGTAGCCTTCTTTGACAACGCCTTTTGGAAGCCAGCCTTGAAGTAGTGAACGTCTGGATGCAATGATTGATTACCACCTTCAGTAAGCTGCTGCATCAGCAGGAGTGTCAAGTGCGTAACGCGATGGCGAGTCACAAGAGAGACCAAGGATTCAGGAGAAAACTGTTGTTTGAAAACTTTCAGCGTGGAGTGCCTGACTACGCCTAGAAAACATCCCGCAAGATTCCTCGGCAAACCCTGTTCCTTGTACCAAAATCCATCCCACCTCTCTCTCTCTGATGGGATGATTCGCCCTCAAACTCAGGCTCCAGCTGCCACTGGAAGAAGTCAGCACCTAAGCAGGCCGACGCACATAGTTCACTGAATGAAGTTAGCCTAGGAAGCATAAAACCGACGTCCAGCAATGGCCAAAACTCCCTTCCATCCAGATCGCAGGCATAGAAGGGGTTTGCAGTTTGCACTCTTGACACATAGCAGCATCCAGCAAACACTGCGAAGGGAAGCACATTGTGAATTCTTAGTCTTAGTCTTAGCCTGGTCCAACAAAATTGTGAAAGTACCTGAATGACCACGCAGCGAGATGGATCTATAGTCAAGGCCTCATTCCCCGGTTTGCACCAAAACAATCCCTGGTTCAATCACTGAAGGCAACTGTTGAACATTCAATGAATGTGTTTCTCAGGAGTTCCACCAAGTCGTGGACACTGTTGAAAAAAGAAAACTGACTGAACGCCAGCCAGCCATGGCTAACGTCTGAGTGGAGCACTGTGACATGGTCAATGCCAAAACCCTTTCCGCTCATCTTGAAGTACTTTGTCAAGACCTAGTAGTTGTCAAGTGCGTTGTTCCCATCCAATCCATCAACACAATCCTAACAAATCCACATAGTACGGTACGAGTAGCATGTAAAGTTGTATTATCTTGACTTTTCCAGAGATGTTAAGGAACCTCAATCCAAACCTACTTGCGTGTCAGTACTCGGCAACCTAGGGATCTCCGAAAATCACTTGACCTAGACTAGAACTACGCACAGTAAAATAAAGGAGGATGGTCTTCCAGTACCTGCTCTGCTGAAACACCAAGCGATGGTTGGAAAAGCTCACAAACATCAGGTGAATTCCATGAGGTTACAAAATCGAATAGTCCTAAGTCCTATATGCATGAAACTCAGCAGCGAGTGAGAGATGTGATTGCAAGTTCACAAACAACAGCCTTTACAGTACAGTCAGTGTATTATAATCAATCAAAGAGAAACTGTTGGTACGAAGGCTGTTCCTCCCTCAACTTGTCTCTCACCCAACCGGGCGTCTTCGCCTCGAGGACAAGGTCGCTGACGCCAATGTTCTCTCGTGAGGAGAACGGCTTTGTGAAGGGTAAGTATACCTCGTTGTGTGGAGTTGGCAGGTTTATCTGAAGGGCCTTAGATGCCACTTGCCACCCAAAAAAAGCTCGAAACAAAACTACCGATTTCTGGAGAACCCCCGGCCGCAAGCTGCTCTTTCGGGCATTGGGAAATCAACATGTCGTGTTGAGCAACCCCTGGCAAGAGCATTCGCGGATCGTACTGGCTACGGGATCAAGAATCCTCATGACAAGAGTCACATCACATCCCCGTCTACAAATTTGATTTGGGTTGGCTGACCCCTGAAATACTACAGTAAATGCCTTTGATCTATCTTGTGTACCATGTTTCACCGACAACAGTGAATATCCCCCACGTTATTTCGGTTGACTGCCTCTTGATTCGTTTTTTAAATCAGTCCATGCTTCATTTCTATTTCAGGTTCCCTGGTCCCCCATTCCTTCTTTCCTTTAACTGTTCTCATGATTTGGGTAGTTGTGTATTGGACAGATTCGTCTATGGGGGCAAGGTGATGGCCCTTGAATGGCGAGGGGCCACGCCTGATACCGACCATCATGCAGCTGCTTCTGATCCAGGAGCTTCTTGTAGACCTTCCTTGGATGTCAAAATGAAGGTTCATCTTGTGGTGTTGATGAAGACTTCACACAAACCATCACAAACCCGAGCCGCATCCTCGTGTTGCAGCTCTGTTTTCAAGGCAGCACCCTTTGGATGTCAATAAAGTAGAGGAAACTGGGTGTTGGCAGCTCGGACAAGAATCGGGATTTGGCTGAAAAACCGATGAACGAAGTCGAACACCAGCTAGTTGCCTTGATGGCACGGAGATGACAAAAAGGTGATCTTCCATGGTGACGAAAAGGATGAAGGGGAACAGCCTGCTTGATCTGCTTGACAATTTTAATGTCGCTTAAAGAACAGCTCAAAGTCGAAGTCCGAGCTTCTCTTTGGACTTGATTTGGTCAAAGGCCTGGACCGAGCTAAGTGGACACGAGTGACACCAGGACAGGAAGGGGAGGAAAAACCCTTTCATGTTGCTCTGCGATGCTCTGCATGTCTGGTTGGAATGGGTTTTATGGTGGCCCCAACAAAGAGTTCCATGCCTATCGGGCCGTATCACCACCCCTTTACGGGGGTAGGGGCATGTTTTCGCGTGGTTTCTTGGCCTTTTAAGACGTACTAACACACACACACACTCCTAACATGACACGGTGGCTCCTTGGGCTTTGCCCCGGCACAGTAACAGTGACCACAAATCATACCACAAAAAAAACACAGCAATTTGGCCATAGTTGGCATTAGGATGATTTTCATTTTGCCCTTTCTAACGCTGGCTACATTAATCATGTGTGTGTGACGCGTGCGTTTGTCTGGCGTCATAAGCATAACATTTATACTATAAGTATATACGTAAGTATATAATATATACATACATATAATATATACATACATCATATAATATACGCATGTCTATTTATTATATATACATATTGAATATACTGAATATATATATTATGTAAAATATATATGATTATGTATATACCCCAAAATGTTTGTACGTTTGCGAAGTAAGCCACAGAGACGAACTGTCAAACAGTCAACGGCTCAAGCCGTTCCAGCTCGCTGTGATCAACTTGGACCTCCTGGGCTTCTATCAATTCGTAGCCCAATAGGCTCCAGGAGAGGACCGGCAATTCACATGCTCTTGGCCGGATGATTGCACTTGTCCGCCTGACAGATTAGCTGATGGTAGCGCCCGGAGAAAAGAAAATGAGCTGGGCAGAGCTGGGCTCCGGCAGGCCTGGTAGAAGGGGAGGGAGAGGCCGGGCAGGCCGCCAGAACTGTGGGCGGCCCCCGGGGGCGGGCGGGCTGCCCTTTAAAACAAAAGAAAACTGGAGGCCCGCTATTTTTAAAAGGAAAATGAAAAAGGAGCAAAACCACAAAAAAAGGCACAAAACATGCACAAAACCCACCACAACTTTGTGGATTTTTTGTTTTTTGTGGTCTGATTTGTGCTCTTTTTGGTGCTTTTTGTGGTATGACTTGTGTTTTTTTGGGTGTCTTTTTTGGTGATCTTTTTTGTGATATGATTTGTGATGTTTTTGTGTTTTTTGTGGTATGACTTGTGCTCTTTTTTGTGGTATGACTTGTGTTTTTTGTGCTCTTTTTTGCGATATGATTTGTGATTTTTTTGTGCTTAATTTTGTGGTATGACTTGTGGGTCTTTTGTGCTTTTTTTTGTGGTATGACTTGTGGTTTTGTTTGTGCTCTTTTTTGTGGTATGACTTGTGGTTTTTTGTGTGCTCTTTTTTGTGATATGATGTGTGTTTTTTTGTGCTTTTTTTGTGGTATGACTTGTGGGTTTTTTTTGGTGCTTCTTTTTGTGATATGATTTGTGCTTTTTTTGGTGCTATTTTTTGTGGTATGATTTGTGGTCCAGGGCGGAAGACAACCACAAAAACAAGCACAAAAAAAGCACAAAAAACCGCGGGGATTTGGACATTTTTTTGAAAATTTGGGGTGGGGAGCCGGGAGCGAGGAGGTGGGGAGCCGGGAGCGACAAGGTGGGGAGCCGGGAGCGATGGGTGGGGAGCCGCTCATCCTGCTCCCAGTGTAATCACAATCTCCCTTCCTTTCTTTCTTTCCTCTTTCCTGTGGCTGTGAGAGCACGCAATCCTGGCCACCTGCTACCGTTCCAGTCTTGAGCCATCATATCATATCTTTTTTATGGACATATCGTCGTTTCATATTTTGTAATTATGTAGATACGATATATGTTATGGTCAAAATATGAGAATACGAATATGGTTATGGAGTGTTGAACTATTTTGAAATTATATACTATAATATATAATATCGAACAGAACATCATATACGATCACCTACAGTGGTGAAAGGTGGACTGTATGGTATACTTCGACCCACTAAGTTGTTGACGGTCTACCGGTCCACCACCCGTCAGTCTGCATGAACAAAAGATTAATCTTGTGGTTAAGTATCAATCATTCTTTGAATTGCCACTTGAGATTGACAAATTAGTGAAGGGATTGGGATGACACTGGTTGTTGTTGGTTTGCAATTATGTTGAGATTTGTGTTCTTTTGAGTTAACCCGCCCACTACTCCAATCATTTTGCGTTTCCTAGACCAGAAATTACAATCAAATTTCCTTTAATGACTTTGAATATGATGGTTGTTTTTGGGGGTATGGTTTAAGGGCCCTGACCCTTTACGACTGTTACTGTGGGGGGGCAGGGCCCAAGTGGCTCCCGCCTATCCTGTTCCTCAAGGCTCAAGGGATTCTAATCCTAGCTTTTGCGGTCAAATCGCACTGCTTGCCTACACCTTCACAGGCGTAGTCCCTCTTTCAGTGGTAGCAGAGCTGTGGTCCTGGAAGACCCAGGTGAGATACAGATCCTGGCCCATCTTGAGAGTAGCAGATTGAGCAAGGCAATTGAGCAACGGACTGGATAGATGCCTGGAAAGAGCTGATACGGATTTGGTTCATGAGCCACAAGCATGTGCTAATAAGGCGCGTGAGAAGAGAGCCCACAGCAAAAGCTATGACAACTAAGGTGCCACCTGCATTCGACGGCAAACAGTCTTGGTGTTCCAGTGGGGATACCATCGGCAACTGAGCAGTCTACAAACATGTTCTTGACATAGATTTGCTGAATGCGAACGATCCTGCAGGTGCAGGAGTGCAGTATTCCAACAGCGTTTTACGTCCTTACTTCGTTAAAGGTGCAACCAACGTGTTCCTATATAGGATCATGCAGTTCAGTTCATGAAGTTCAACAGAGGTTCTGCAGACATGATGAAGTGGATAACAAGATGTCAAACCCTGCCCCAAAGGCCTATGAACCGTTGGATGGATATCTTAGTCCGTGACACAAGCACGCCCGGATGTACAGCAACAAACCCAAACAAACACATTGATGAACGGAGCAGCTCCCAGCCCTAAAGGGATTCAGGAGATCATTACGCAGGTTGCCGCCAACTTGCAGACTCTGCGCGGAAATTACTGTCCATTATGAGAATCTTGTGGCATTGTCGATGGTCAGCTTGGCCGATCTGTCTCAAGACCAGCAAAACGCTTTGGCTTGTTTGATGACGCATCGTGGACGCATCTTGCGCAACTACACAGTGAAGGAACTCCGGACAGTGTTCAGTGAGATGTTCTGAGTTCTGTGCAACAAAGACTTCAGTACGCAATCCCATGATGCAGCCAACAGTCGCTGGAGGAAGAAAACCATTTCTTGTTCTAGATGAAGGTGAACTTGACGGCATATTTGGCTAGAGGGGCAGAACATGAAGATGATGGTGCAGAAGGATGTCTAGTGCCATGGATGATGTTTTCTGGGTCTATGATGACATGCAGAGGAGGATTACGACCCACAATGGGAACGGATTAATTATGATGTAAAAGTGAATTCTTACAAGGACGAGTCTGATGCTTCATGTGAGCGTTCCCGGCGTCTGCCGGACTTCTAAATTCATCTTTAACAACTGAAAGCGTGCCTAACATATGCTATCATATGCTACAGCTTGGGATGTGCTTAGCAATTGTTAAGAAGGGTGAAGCACCAAATCCAACCGGAAGAAAGAGTCACATTAGCAGAACATTGCCTTCTGCACACCGGACACGCAACTTTTTAACTCTCGCAAACCTGGAGTGGGGAGAAATGCGACCCGGTCCAGCACACAACCACCCCAAACTTACCTAAAAGGTCGCAACGAATAAGACTTTACCCAGCGGCGATTGCGATCCCTTTTTCTTTCATAACCATGGATCTTTCACACGCAAAGTATCCACTTTGCGTACTTTGGCTCTGGCCGAACCGGTCTTTTGCCATGCCTTGCTGTTTTTAATCTCAGCGTGCAGCTCGGTCCCGGCTGCAAGCATTTCGCCCATAACCAGCCCATTGCTCTCTTGCAGATCAAATCTTACCCGCCTGCATGGGTCAAACCTTGTCGCGTCGTTGTTCGTCAGAGCGTCTGCCTCTACATTCTGCAGGCGTGGGAGCCAATGCAATTCCAAGTTCACTCTTCTCACATGCAATTGCAATGCTAGTTCCATAAGGAAAGCGCAGAGGGGGAATTTCGTCGTCAATAATCTAGACACCACAAATGAATTGCCCTTGTTGTCAGTACCTGCAGAGCAAGAAGCACGTCCAGCATCAGCCTTTCCCAACCCAAATGCCACCACTGCAGCCAGGGTTGAAAGTAGCTCGAGCGATGCAATGTGTCTGTATGACTCGCCCGCAGCATAAAGCCACGGCGCCTTCTCGTGAGTGATCTTCTCTGCAAACCAACGGCCCTTCATTGTGTCTTGATCGTCGAGCGCCCATCCCCCTATCCAAATTTCGCTCCCCTCAGCGCGGGCATCAGTCCTGAAACATTCTTTTGCCAGCCCCTTGGTCCGGACGCCGACAGGCGTCAGCCTCCCATCACCAGCTAGCGCTTTGGCCAGGAACAACATAATGAGCTTGATGGCTTTGGGCAATCTGTAAACGCACACGTGACCCAAGCATACATCGGCCCTTGGAACAGACACAGCAAAACAGCTACAAACACAGCCAAGCAAAACACCGTGGCGGAGGTTCACACAACAGCCATCAAACGTTGCCCAAGTCCATGAGCAACCCCACTTGGCTGAACTCATGCATTCAAACAAAATGGTGACCAGAACATCAAACCAACCGATTGGAACAAGTCATTGCAAGCAAATCCCCGTTTGTTGTACGCTCGCGTACACATCCCTGCACATGGTCGTGCTTGCTGATGTTTGACGCCCGCGGCTGGCGCCAAGGCATATCCCCGGCATATGCCGGGAATAGCTCTAGCATCTCAACATATCTCGGGGCTGTCCCTACAAGTGAACCCAAAGATCTGTGGATTCGGGCTTCCCGGCGCTTGCCTTGTAGCATTTGTCAGGAAACTTGAGTTCGCGTTAGTTCACGCTTTACCCTTCAACCGATGCCTGATATTGAATATGTATATATGCTGTATAACATTTTCGTGTTTCCTTGATATTTGCTGGCGCCAAGGCATGTCCGGGCATATGCTGGGAGGTCCACTTCCACACACCTTAGAAAGATTCACTGTAAAAATGGATCGCTCTTAGAAAAGCAGTCGAGATATGTCCGAATAGGCATGCAATTGAGTTGTTAAACATAAATTTAGGTGTGACCCCAAGGCATATCCCAGCATATTCATATACCGCAATACCACCTTATTCAAATAAAACCAACGCCTCAAATGGCACCTGCTTGCGATGCTGCTACGGAAGCCTGCAAGCTAGAGAAATGCATTGCATGATGGTGTGGCGCCTATTTGGCTGGAGGCCAGTGAAAAAACGCCGGTAGAACGAGCACCTGCCCGTCCGACCGTGGGCAGCCTGAACTGAACAGTCCTCGCAAAATCCTGCCTTCTGAACGCTATTGAGCTATATATATACTCTTCTTTTTTTGTCTGATTGGGACGAAACGAGTGACATGGCACTGGGTTCCCGACCCCTATTGCGCCGTGACGCAACATGATGATTGTCTGCTTGAAAACGTGTTAATGGCGCCGTAGCGCCGTGTACATTTGCTCGTGCCTGTTTTGAATGTTTCGCTTTCAAAACTATGAAAACTACTTGTTTGGGATTGCAAGTGAAGCATGTCTTTTCCTCTTCTCTTACACCGATTCTTCTTTGCCACCTCGCAAAGCTCAGGCAACAAATGAGGCGCACTAAAAGACTAAAATCCAGAAGCAAGCAGCGTAGCGTATATAGAAGTGGTAGGCAACAAGTATGACAAGTATTGTGCAGTGGGCGTGCACTTCCAGGCGAACGTTAACATCCCAACCCATCCAAGTAGGTAGCGTAGAGTAGAAGTGGTAGCAAGAAAAGCAAGGGACCGATGAGCACGTGTTCTGAAAACACAGACAACGTGCGAGATAAAGCATTAACACGTGGGAAAACCACACGGCGCGGCAGGGGTCGTGGTCCAGCTAGGTTCAACTACTCCAGTTCAAAACACCTGCAAGTGTTGGAGGTGCAAACAAAGGTCAACCTGCCCTTATTCATGTTGTATTGGTTGAGTGTGCCTGTGCTTCTCAGGTGAAACTGCCCGCCCCATATGAACAAGCAGAAGCAGTTTCAGCCCATGTTCGTTTTAATGTATACAAAATTAATATAGTATAGTGTGTGTCTTTTGGATGCTAGTGGATGCGGTCCGTCGCTTTACAGTCTAATCGAAGGTCTTTGCGGCAAACGGCTGAACTTGGACAGCATCTGAGAACACCTACCCAAAGTACAGTCTGCATTATGTTCGTTCAGCTGTGAGCTTCTTCAACCCGTCCTGTTGAAACCGGTCCAAGCTTTGTAATTCGTAGCCGCCAAGCAGCTGCCTTGGCGCACAAGCGAGGCAATGCGAGGTACCTGTGTCCGGCAAGCTGTTTTACAATGTTTTAGACCTTTAGCTCAAATCTCCGCAGCACCGGCAACATACGTTCTTCGAAGTCCAAGGGAATTCCGGGGAATCTCAAATCTCATCTAGGCTCACAAAACCGATATATACAGGACATGACAATGCAACATCATGCACCGTGTGTCTAGCTTGTGTTGTGGATTGCCACGGGCTACGTGTAGTCTTCCGCAAATGCGCCCCGCAGCTCTGCGTTTAAACATGAATGAAACAAAAGCGCTGTCACTGTCTACAACAAGGCAGATTAGAGGACGCTATTAGTAACCGTTACTAGGAACAAGGACGCTACTAGGGGCTCCTGGCCTTACTGCTAGGAACAAGAAATTACTAGGAACTTTTGGATGAAAAAAACGATTGCAAAGGCCAGATCAGCCAAGGGACACGACCCCACAACGCTGCAGGGTTTCCAACGCCTTCTCGGCAGCATCTGCTGCCGCGGCAGGAACAGCAATTCCTGGCACACCACATGAGGTTTGCGCAAGGGAATCTGCAAAAGAAGGAACTCACTGTGACATCCAAAACTATTTAGCCGTCTAGTTCTTCTCCAAAAAACGCAGAGACAAATAATCGTTATTAAGTTATGTTCATGGTTTCGGTGGGGATGTCCCCTTCAAGGTTTTAATGTTGGGCCTTAACGAGTAAAACCCGTCCCCCCAGCAAACAATCAAGGGAGTATGAGTAGAATCCCCGCCACAAAAACCATTAGTAGCATTCGTAGCAGTAGTAGTAGTAGAAGAAGGATTCAGTAAGGATTTGAAAGGGCGACAATAGCAAAACAAAAATAAAAATTTGCATTTTCCCTTAGGGCTCCAATTTTGTCTGTTAGTCACATCCCCTAAACAATTGATATGTTTCACTTCCCCTGTGCTTGTGTACTACCCCCGTGAAAATCTGTTTGGAGCAATGAAGTCGTTTAGTTTAAAAAAGAAAACGATTTCCAAGTCAGAATTCTATGAATCAAACAAGCCTCAGAAGAGTTATATAAGTAAGGATTTGAAAGGGCAACCCTTTTTTTCACCCTTGAACTCTTTTTTTCATCCCGCCATTTTTTCCACCCTCCACCTTTCTTTTTCACCCTCTGAACCTTCTTTATCTTCTCTTTTCACCCTCGAACCTTTTTTTTTGACCCTCTACTACTCTTTCTTTTTTGACCCTCGACCCTTTCTTTTTCACCCTCCTTCCTTTGCTTGGTGTGTTGGTTGGTTGGCTAGCTTGTTGTAACGCAAGCCAAATATCGACAGCATTTGGGAAAACACAGGGTCGTCTGGTTTTGGTTGCTTGGTTTGTTGGTTGCTTGTTGGGCTACCAATGCAAAGCAAGCATCGACAGCATTTGGGGAAGACATTTGGTTGCTTGGTTTGTTTACTGCTGGGGGGGCTAACCACCCTTTCTTTTTTATTTTTTCCCGAAAGCATTGCGAAGGGTTCTTCCGGGAAATCCTTTGAACACTGACACTTCGACACTTACACTTACACATTGACACTTTCACCACACTTGCGCGACAACATGAACGCTATGCACGACAACATGAACGCTATACGTAGCCCTGTGTAAGTGGAAGAGCGAAAGCAGTGAAGTGCAAAGTATGCAATGCAAGTGTCAAAGTATGCAAGTGGAAGTATGCAAGTGTAAGTATGCAAGTGTAAGTATGCAAGTGATGAGTATGCAAGCATGCAATGAGTATGCAAGCATGCAATGAGTAGGCAAGTGTGCACGGGAGATGTCCTAATGAAAAAACATTTCCCCACTTTATAATTCTCTCTTAAAGGCGGAGGGTGGGACGAACAGCGTCAACCGAAAGTGCAACCCTCTGCGGAGATCGTGCGTGTCGAGTGCGCGAAATGCAGGCGAGAGTGCGATTTGTCCGGTCCGCGCGCAACCCTCTGCGGAGATCGTGCGTGTCGAGTGCGCGAAATGCAGGCGAGAGCGCCGCGCGCCGGCTGCGCGCGCAACCCTCTGCGGAGATCGTGCGTGTCGAGTGCGCGAAATGCAGGCGAGAGCGCGATTCGTGAAATTACCGCGCAACCCTCTGCGGAGATCGTGTCGAGTGCGCGAAACGCAGGCGAGAGCGCGATTTGTGCAATTAACGCGCAACCCTCTGCGGAGATCGTGCGCGTCGAGCGCGCGAAATGCAGGCGAGAGTGCGACGTGTGAAATTACCGCGCGACCCTCTGCGGAGATCGTGCGTGCCGAGTGCGCGAAATGCAGCGGAGCAAGCTGTGGAGGTGGAAGCTGAGAACTGGCGACGTGGTAGGACAACTGTAGTACGCGGAGTAGCTGGGGAGTGGGAAGATGAGAACTGGCGAGTGGGTACGCGGAGTAGCTGGGGAGCTGGAAGCTGAGAACTGGCGACGTGGTAGGACATGGTAGGACAACTGTAGTACGCGGAGTAGCTGGGGAGTGGGAAGATGAGAACTGGCGAGTGGGTAGTAGAACTTGAGTAGGCAGAGTATCTGGGGAGCTGGAAGCTGAGAACTGGCGAGTTTCTAGTACAACTAGAGTACGCGGAGCAATGTGTGGAGCTGGAAGCTGAGAACTGGCGACTTTGCAGTACAACTTTAGTACGCGGAGTAGCTGGGGAGCTGGAAGATGAGAAGTGGCGACTTGGTAGTACAACTTTAGTACGCAGAGTAGCTGGGGAGTG